AACTATGGGCAGAAAAAACTCTTATTTGTCTAAGCACCGTGGATTTGTTGCAAGACTGAAGAAACCTCTATAAAATAATCTATTATGATAATAAATTCTTTTCAATAACAAACGTGTATGTACACAACAACGTGCTCGAAAAAAAAAAGAATAAATGTGTCGATATTTACACGCTAATAAAACCCAGTGATTTCAACGGTCATAGAAAATCTATAAAAATTCCCTAAATTCGATATTTTGATTAGAGGATCTTATGAGTAATAATTATACAAAATGAAACTTATTGCGAATATCGGCAAGTTCACTAATTATGAACAAGCTCTCGTAATTGAGTAGTTAACGTACGTTTTATAGTCGGCAATTTATTAGGAGACAAAAGTTCCAATATCCGAGGAGCAACAACAAGAATTAGATTACTTTAAAATAAAGAGGAAATTAAGAGTTAAAGTTAGCTTAATTTAGAAGGCATCACACACGTAATTTGTATAAGAATAATGTTAATAGCAAGATATAAAGAGTGGTTGGGACGGCAGCGCATTGGTCACAGAGCAAATAAAGCAAAACGACGTTGCTGAGACACCGAGATTCGAACCACCGGCCCATGTTTATTTAAAAAGGTTGTAGGTTCGAGTCTCACGCTCGCCATAGTTTTTTACCCTCTTATAATAAACCGAACTTTGATAAACTGAACTGAACCTATCGGCCGACGTTTATTTAAAAGGTTGAAGGTTCGAGTCTCACTCTCGCCACAGTTTTTCACCCTCCTCTTAAGATAAACCGAACGTTGATAAACTGAACGTTGATAAAGTGAACTGAACCTATCCATCCACGTTTATTTGAAAGGTTGTGGGTTCGAGTCTCACACTCGCCAGTTTTTCACCCTCTTATAATAAACCGAACTTTAATAAACTGAACCTTGATAAACTGAACTGAACTTATCGGCCCACGTTTATTTAAAAGGTTGTAGGTTCGAGTCTCACACTCGCCATAGTTTTTTTACCTCCTAAGATAAAACGGAACTTTGATAAACTGAACTGAAACCATAGGACCAGGTTTATTTAAAAAGTTGCAGGTTCGAGTCTCGCACTCGCCAGTTTTTCACCCTCCTCTTATAATAAACTGAACGTTGTTACCCACTGTACATAAGTCACTTTGCTTGAGCTCCTATGAAGGTTTACTAATTTAGTTATATCTTGACATGAGTGGATATATAATGGATATTAAACTGCATCTCAATGAATGCATTTTTAAACAGCTAGGTATAGTTAACATGAGCAAAACTTGGTCCTGTATTATCATTGTTTATGATTGTGCTTGAAATCTAAGATATGATGAGAAGGGGTTTTAATTTCAAAGGGAGATTAGCTTAGTATTATATCAATAAAACCAGAGCTGCTCTTTAATAGTACTGGGGCCATACTTTCAAAATTCGTTAAGTGAACGTAAGTACTTACGCTCTATTTTCTTGTCTATGATTAAGTGAACGTAAGTACTTACGCTCTATTTTCTTGTCTATGATTAANCATGTAACTGGAGTGAAGGAGTCCTATAGGATAGGGTTGATAGCTACACTTGAGGGCTAGCATGATAGCATGTAACTGGGGGATGGGGGAGTCCTATAGGATTGGGTTGAGGTTCGATTAAATACTTCTTTACTTTACTTCTTTAAAGAACTTCTGCAAAAGATATCCTGTGAGATATGAATTTCTCACTTCAAACCTAGAACATATCACAAAAGGCAGCAATATTAAAGAAAAACGTCCATAACTCATTATTTTTCACAACGTTGTATAGCTAAACAATCAATGGGAAGTAACAATAAAGGCAATGTTTTCACCAAGATACAATGAAGCACCCTTCTCTCATGGAAGTAACAATGATCTTACTTATTTCTCAGAAAGATATATTGGAAGCAAGACTACAAGTCAGAATTTAGCAGCACTTCGCATATGAATTTATACAGCGACTACAAGAAAAAAAACAACAATACACAGTTAGAAAAAATTACCGTTAACGGTATTACCGGTGTTTCAGTGGCCGGTCGGCACGTGAAAAGAAACACCGTGTCGCCGTTTTTAGTCTAATTTAACCCTAGAAATCCGTAAAACATCTAATAAAAACGGCGAAACAGTTTATTTTCACCGGGCGACCGGCCACTAGAATGCCAGTGGGACCGTTTTTTCACCGTTTTTTTTAACAGTGTATGGAAGTAACAATGATCTTACTTATTTCTCAGAAAGATATTTTGGAAGTTAGACTAAAAGTCGGAATTTAGCAGCACTTCGCACAGGAAATTCCACAGCGACTACAAGAAAATAAAACAACAATATCGTAATTTTGCCGATCCACTAATTGTTAAAATTGGATATAAGCATAAATTGGATATAGAATCAATGAATAGCGTTTGGTGAGTTGCAGCTGCATAATAAAACATAGCAAGAAAACTCTACCAAATGATATCATCAATTTAAAACATAAGCATGAAGTATATTTCCCGAGAAGTGAGTACAGTATGATTTTATCAATAAACTTCTAACACAAACATTTTATACAATACGTCATCTTGACTTTCACCGCCTTAACCAATCAATATAAAATTCGTTGTAAAACAATACCGTATAACGACCCTATATAAGCAAATCATATACATACAAATATTCATAAAAGAAACAATTCATAAAACAACGAATTAGATAAAAGCGAACAACCGCAAACTTCAGGCACTTCAAAAGGTTTTATAATTATATTGTGGTATAGCCACACTCCTACCCATTATTATTGTCTTAATAGAATTGCAAACATGTCTTCTTTATATGCAAATATAAAAGAATTGCAAATATGTCTTATTCCTTCTTGCGTTATAGGTACAAGTAATTAGCATATACTTCACTATAACCTAATAAATCCATGGGTCCCATATACCTAAATTAAACCGTAGCCTTAACAAGTAAATTGCTGAGCAAGTTTTATTGTCGACAACGGCAACTACTCAATGATCAAATATTCTATCACTTCATTAACGTAATATAGGCACTTAGCCTATATTAATAATATATAGGCTAATATATATAGGCACTTAAGAAGCATTAGGTAATACCATAAGGCAAGGGTAGGTACACTCAAATAAATCAGTTACACCTTGTCTAAATATCGATGCACTTTTTTGCCATTGTGTGGGCCATCCTCACTCAGTTTGGTCCAGATAAAAGGCGTATCAGTGCTACGAGCTGAAAGTGTGTCACAATTTAGACATTATGACCCAGTAATTTGTCTGAGCGTGGAGTCTTGGTAACACTAACCATCAAAATCGTACACACATAAAAACTGCCGTAACAATCGTCCGTACACCGGCGAGTGTAAAGACCCACAATCCAAAACGTCGAAGATAGTCTTAGCAAAGACAATAGTCTTAGCAAAGACAATAGTCTTAGCAAAGACAATAGTCTTAGCAAAGACAATAGTCTTAACAAAGACAATAGTCTTAACAAAAACAATAGTCTTGACAAAGGCAATCGTCGTAACAAAGACAATAGTCTTAACAAAAACAATTGTCTTAACAAAGACAATAGTCTTAACAAAGACAATAGTCTTAAAAAAGACAATAGTCTTAACAAAGACAATAGTCTTAACAAAGACAATTAACAATTCAAGTTCATGCCAAATGCACATCTGTAAATAAGGTAAAGTGTGTAGAAACTGGAAAGAAATGCTTAGTCGTTGCTGGAATGATTTCGACCACTATTTCACGTCAATAAAATTTTTGATCAAATTTGGCATGCAGTGATTTCCGAATGAATTCTTGGGTCTGCTGTTACACATAGAGGAACAAATTGCCATGCAACAATTTTTGTTGGAAACGACCGTTTTTATTTCAAGTATATGAACCGTTTTACATCTAATGAGCTAGCGCTGAAAAAGGATCTGTTGTAAGTACCTTAGAATATTGGATAAAAATCGATTAAATCTTGAAATGAGCTAGTCTCTTAGCAAATAAGTGCACGGCAAAAAAAACTCATTATATTCTAAGACAAGACCGATTAAAGTAGAGATTGTAAAGTTAAACTACGAGTGCGTGTGATAAGAGTCAAGTACGTACCTATTCGAATTTAAAGAAGAAAATACTATTTTACGATCATGTTAGCTAATGTAAGCCGTTACATTATTTCGGGGAATTTTCGGTCCACAATTGTATAAACTATAATATTTCAACGATACTCAAAGTTCTCGAGTTGTTTATAAATAACTTTCCAGAAGTTCCGGATAGAATAGGATTTAGTCCTTCTTGCAAAGGGGATTTCCAAGTAGGGAAAGTTTACTATTTAGCTGCAGGTACATTTGCCACGTTACTTATGACGTTCAAAACACACAAAATGAAACCATATTTTAAGTATTTTAAACAACACTCAGCTGCCCTAGTTTAAATTTGAATTATATCTATACTTCTAACTGAAAATACTCAATATCTTCCATTTTTCTTATTATCTTGAATGGACCTTGCTAATTCACAGAATTAGAACTAGAAATTAGAACAATACTGAAAACTACATAATCATATCACCGTATATACCATGGGTATCGAAAATCATGTCGCAGAAGTCAGCGTTAATTCCGACATACTCAAGTTCTTGGCGCATGTAGTAGCATTACTGCATAGGATCGCACTTTCATCCGATGCAAAATCAGCGATGGATCTCAACCGATGGATTAAGCGCTAATCGATGGCGTTGTATCAACAGATGACATTTCAAAATTGTCGATGGACGGGCTAGAAGAAACAATAATTATTACGGTAACTGTTCAATTATACAGGGGTTATGTGGTGCCACTGGACTGTTGCCGGATATGAAGTTAGCATCGAAATACGGTTGGGAGGAAATTCCAGTTCAAGTTGAAGAAATAGATGATGAGATATTGTCATCGTGTTCAGGTTTGTCCCTAACAAAATTTAGAGGCGTGCGCGACCCTGCATTAGGGTCGCCTAGGACAGGCTAATCAGCTTCTCTATGTCCGCTTCGGTTCAGGGTTCGAAGGGCAGCCTCTGGGCAGTTTCCTAGCTCGGCCAACCCTCGTCATACTCTCAGGCGACTATAAAGTCAGATAGGAGATTCTGACAAGAAACTAATTTCAATCGGGTGGCCAAGCAAACCCAGAATAACTTTGCGCAGAGTGTAGTGACTACTCGGTCGAAGCATAGGCGTTCCCGAATTTTGTTAGGGGTGGTGTTCGGATTAGGTTGATTTTGAACACGATGCAGAAGTTGGCTCAGATGCCAGTTGGGAATTGGATACTGAAGATGACCCGTCCACTACTTTGTCATTTCGATCATCCCCAAATGAATTTTTTCTTGAAGTTTGGCGAGATTCACAATCTTTAATAGCATTTTTAAGCGATGCGCAATGGGTGTTCAATGAAGCCCCAGAAACCTCGATACTTGTTTTCTCAGAATCTAATGACTTGCGAAATTCCTCTCTGGCTGAAGTCATGTCTGAAGTAAGCGACTTTGTGTCATCTCCCCTCGAAGTGTCCGATTTTCTGGGAGAATCAGTCACTGATCCACACTTATTTTCGCTTACTTTTGCAACCGATTCAGTCTTTCCTATTCGTTTTGATGATGACCCAGATCTGGAAACTGGAACAGCCATAGGAGGAGAAATTTCAGAGGGGTCGTCCTGCTTAGTCTGCACTGACAGAGTTGCAGGGGAAACTGATGAGATTCGACTATTGCACTCCAAGAACACGTTTTTCGCATCAATTGACGGAGCCAACGAAGCTAAGCTTGAGAGAACGTCGGTAACAGTTTGTATGTCAGATGCTTTACAGCTGGAAGATTGGGCTTTCAGCTGGCCATGTGCGGGTACGGAAGATTGAGAAATGTCTGTAGGACGGGATTTTGTAGACAACAAAGATGAACTAAGAGGAGTTGCTGAAGAACATTGCGTATGTAATTCATAAGATCCCACAGGAGTTGAATGGCTTTCAGTGGCTGTAATATTTGGTGGGCGTTTCTGTTTGGTTATCGAATTAGAACGCAAATCTGACGAAATTGAAGTTTGAACTGGAGAGCTGGTAGACTTGACATTTCCCGGAGTAGACGATTTAACGTTCATCTTCAGGGAAGCTGAGTTAGATGGAGTAGTATGAAGATTATGACTTGGAGAAGCTTGAGTAGTCTTTGGAGTCGATTGAGTTCCACCAGATAAGTGGCTTAGATGAGACATGGAAAAATAGGGGTAGTTGTTATATGAACCAGCGTTTCCCATAAATGAGCCTGAAGGATATCCCATATTCTGGTTGTAATAGAAGCTGGGATAGGAGTTCGCACTAGAATTTCCATACTGACTACTATCTAGTGAGTTAGACATGCTGCCCGAGCCTTTAGCTAGCTGAAGTGAATTCCAGCTTGACTGCATCATGTTCATAGAAAAAGAATTGGACATGAAGTAGGGGAAATTTGTCATGGCATAACCGGGATAGGAATGGGAATTATTTATATTGGATAAGTAAGCATTCAAAGCCATTGCGTTCATGGTATTCGATGAATCATGATGATTGGGAGAAGAAGCCGACGAATTGAAATATCCAGCGCTATTATACGAGTGATACTGAGGTGTAACTCTGGTATCGGAGCACGTTTTAGGGGTAGAACAACCTCCAGTGTAGTCATAATTACTCACGTCTGATGCTCTGTTGGATGTATTGTGAAAATCAGCATAATTGTTTCCCAACGATGCACCGCTAGTTTGACTGGAGCTACTGCCAATACTCCGAGAAAGCCCGTATGCTGAGAACGGATCAAAGAAATTTGGAGTTGTTTGTTGAAAAGCGTTTTGCGACATGAAGTTCGACAATGCATACGATGAAGAATTTAGCATGGGGTAGTTTTGTAACATTTGACTGTGGGGGTCGAGACTTGATGTATTACAGGCTGTGCTCTTACTTGAAGAAGCATTCGCAGGTTTCTTCGCAATGCTTCCGGAATTAGGTTTCATAGTTCTTTTGGAATTCTCCTTGGCGCTTCCAGATCCACCGGATGCAAGCCCTTCAGCAGAATCTGAGCTGTACGGTGAACTTGACTTGTAATGTTCATGTGTTCTGTCCAGCTTAGTTGAACGCACATGTGCCAAGCTGCTGTCAACACCTGTCGAGCTGCGTGTCGCAGGAGAATTATTACTGATAGAAGTAAGACCACTTGAAGAAGACAGGCCAAGGGTCTGAGCCGATGGTATATTAGGTGAATAAACCAAAGGCAAGCTGGCTTTAGGAGGACTAGATAAAGCAGAAGATACCACAGAGGATTTTAATGAGCATGCTGAGAAATTGATGGTCGCAGATGAATTCGTTTCGTGAAGGCAACTGGAAGATGTGTTGCTTGGAACACGCGATGTAACAGCAGCATTCAAATTTTTATTCTTTGCAAGACACGCGGTATTGGAAGTCTCGAGCATTGCGGATGAGGTCGTCGAACTCGTAAGTGTAGTGGAGTCTTGGAAATTAGGCGATGTATTGAGTGAAGTCACAGGAGGAAAGTTCTGGTTTGGGCTTGAGTGAGAGGGAATTAAGGAACTGGAATTGGTTACTTTCACTTGGTTGCTGCTTCCATACAGATTTCCATAGTTGGCGGAACTCCACGGAGAAGCTTGCCGTCTGTCTGTTACCCTACACGATGTGTTCTCATCGGAAGTAGAATTTGGAGCACAAGAACTGTTATCATCACTATTATTAGTTAAGCTTTGATTATAGTATGGAAACGAGGAACCGAAGTAAGGATAGGAACTATTCATCTGGGATGATAGTCCACTAGGGTAGAACGAATAGGGCATGTAATAGTTGGAATTAATATGAGAGAATGGGTTGTCATTGGTTTGTGTCGTGTTGGGAGTGTCAGTTCTTGTTGATGCATTTTCTGCAGGTTTATCTGTACTGGCAACCGAACTACAAGCTTCTATGGTTAATTGAGAAGAAGAAACAGATTTGTGTTCATTAAAATTTGCTGATACCTTTGGTAGCGGTACTTTACTTTTCTCAACTGTAACTAAAGTACCAATACGGTTTTCAGACATTGATGAAGCTTTTTGAGCCACATTTGAGCTCATAAGACCAGTGGTAGTTAGAGTTTCAGTTTTCCTTGAACTGGAAGTAATGGTGGTATTTGCAACAGCATTTTCCTTAGAATCTTTAGGCTTAAAGTTTCCAATATTAATGTTTTGGTGTGCGAAGCCTCTGTTGGGCACCAAAGGGACAGATGGCACCATCAAGTGAGTTGACTGAGAACTCGCAGAAGAACTACTACTAGGGGCAACACACGACTTTTTGCTCTCTTGAACAGATTTAGAACCTAGGTTTGCTTGAATTTTATTAACTGAATCGGAAGGCCCAATTTTCGATTCTTCAATAATATTAGTGTTGGACTCTACCGACACTGACTTTGTTTGGCACTGCTCACTAGAAACTTTATCGGTGAGTAACAAAGATGAGAAAGAATTCTCCGAGGAGCCAAAATTTGGTTGTGGAGTACTACTAACATCCTTATCACTAACAGCAGGACGGTTAGCATTACGATTGATTTTCGAAGGCGAACTACAAGAAGCACGACTTTTAACATTCACCTGGTCGGTATCAGGCTCAGGCATACAAATGTTTGACAACTTCCGGCCCGTATCATTCGTTGTGGCGCTAGGTAGCTGGACAGGATTGGGGACTGAAGATTTATCCAGCTTTGAAATATTGAAAAGCGTATTTACCGATTCATGCAAAGCTTTTGACTTTTCAATGCTACAGGAAGAAATGTCCGAAACGTTTTCACCAAATTCAGGCACTTCTTTTTGTGCCACAACACTGCTGGTTAATACAGACGATTCAACAGGCATGACTGAAATCGTGCCGAGACTGTTTGACGGAGCGGCAGGGTGTAATGACTTTACTGAGAGCGAGGTGACGGTTGAGATGGTTGGATCGGTGGATAAAGTTGAAGATATACTGTCATTACCATTTCTTGAAAAGTTAATCTTGTTTGATGATAATTCTACAACTGGCGCTACATTTTTAACGAGATGTTTAGAAGTAATAGAGGCACTTACTAGGCTCGAAGTGGATGTAGAGGTATTAACAACAGACAAGGCACTAACTACGCCTGAAGTGGATGTAGAGGTATCAACAACAGACAAGGCACTAACTACGCCTGAAGTGGATGTAGAGGTATTAGCAACAGACAAGGCACTTGCTACGCTCGAAGTGGATGTAGGGGTATTAGTAACAGAAGAGTCACTAACAACGCTCGAATTCGTCGGCGAGGTATTATCAACAGACAATGCACTATCAACGCTCGTAGTGGATGTAGAAGTATTAGCAACAGACAAGGCATTAACAACGCTCGTAGTGGATGTAGAGGTATTATCAACAGACAAGGCACTAACAACGCTCGGTGTAGTTGGCGAGATATCAGCAACAGATGATGCACTAACTACGCTAGAATTGGATTTCGAGGCGCTTCCTACTGCCAAAACAGTTACTGAACGCGATGATGCAGCGGGTTTGACATTCTCGTTACCAATATTGTCATCATTATCACAAGGCAAAGGCACCATGACTTGAGACTTGTCACTTTCAGAAGCAACAATGCTCGAGGCACATTGATTTCCAGCTGAAAGAGGAGGCTTCGAACCAGCTTCGGCTACCGAATCATCAGTGGAACACACTTTTCCTGTAGATGTTTTATGAGGAGAAACGTGTGACGCTGAAGTTTTCAGCGCTTTACTAGGAATATCAATGCTAGCATTTGGTAAATCCACATCAGTTTTACAATTGCGTCCAACGTTAATCATCGAGTTTTTATTGTTGAAGTTACCAACATCTGATTCAGATTTTATTCCCAACGAGGACTTTTCCATTTGTTTAGCTGCTTCCAATTTCTTGTGGAATGAACGCAAGCAGCGAGCAATAGGGCCTGAGTCTGCCACAGCTTTATTAATTTTCGAAGGAGGCAATGGTACAGACAGGGTCGAAGATTCGTTCAAAATCGGATTATTGTCAGATTCGACGTGGTTAATTCCACTCCTCGGTTTTGTCTCCGATGTTGGCGGCTCTGAACGCTTCGATGTGGAGGCACCAGAAGCTGACTGTAACTTCAAAACTTCTGAAGGCTTGGAGCTCTGAGATGAATTGGTCTCCTCTAAAGATGGAGAGTTCGCAGACTTAGATGAGGAACGTGGACATTTCTTTGAGTGTTGAAGTGTCTCGGGAGGTGTTATTGAGTGTGAAAAAGTTGAAGTAACAACAAGAGGTTTCATTGAAAGGGCTGACGTTTGTAGAGACGAAGTTATAGTAAGTGTGGCAGGAGCAGAGGAGGCCAAAGGGGTTTTAGGTGAAAAGCTTCCCGAAGGCTTCAGCGGTTGTACAGTAGATTTAGAAGTGGTGCACAGAGACGCCGTTGATGAAGATGGCTCGCTGGAACCTTGCGCAAGAACCTTAGAATGTTTAGGAGTAATGGATGTCGAACCCCTACGCAGTGACGTAACTGAACTCTCAGAAGGTGCAATTAAAGTTCCTACGATGGAGGAACAAGTCGTCAATTTGGGCGAAGATGCACCGAGCTGAGCAAAGGATATATCATTTTTCTTCAATGCTTGGTCGTTGACAAGAATAGAGGCGCCTGACTCGGGTTTAATATTATTTTCAGCTAAAAGTTTTGAGGAAACTGTTTTTTTGCATTTCGGTTTTACAGGCGTAGCGCTGCTAGTGGCATCTACAACGGGATGTGGTACACATGTCTTCAGAACACCTAAAGACGAAGGTGAAAGGATCCGCGGAGCGTTCCGAGCTTTGAAAAACTTATTCGTTTTTGGTGACAAACCAGCATTGCTGACACCCAACTGGAACTGTTCCTTAGAAATAGTGGGGTTCCAGCCCTTGGGTGAAGTATTCAATGTTTTGTAGCCAGTAGAATGAGATTTGCGCCCAGGTCTTTCACAGTCCGTCTTGACTTCTACTTTTCTGGAGCCAGGCCCAACAGTGGGCGATAACGGGGCATTGGTTGAGAGCTTAGAAAGATTTTTCAGATTTGCTGTTATGGTTGCAGCTGCGACATCAAGCGGGACATGTCGACTTTTAACGTCAATAGGAATTCCATTTTTATCGACAAACCGTGCATCTTTCTTAAGATTTTCACTGCTTTTATTGAACAAAGAGCGCTGCTTCTCGGCAATTTCCTTCAATTTCGAGGTCTTCCGATTAAGAACTGGTCGCTCTTCATTACTATCGGCTGGGCTACTGAAAGGTAAAGCACACACTACTGAAGTGCTGTTGGAAGTTTCAACTTTTGGCTTCTTGGCATATCCATCACTACACTCGTCTGTGTTCTTCCTCTTGAAATTTTCACAAACTCTGAGAGGCGGAAGTTCGTCATCGCTCAGATCGTCTTTTGTGGCACATGCAGATCCATCTGAAATGTTCACATATTTCACAGGTGAAAGAAAATCTGGCGTCTTTCCAGGAAGTTCTTTGTGGGGAGTATCAATCAATTTGTCGACTAACATTTCATCACTTTTGGAATTTTTTATGCAACTTCGGTCACTCGGAGACGATATTAGTTTTTGGCTAGACTCCAAAATACTCTCGGTATTTGCAAGCTTACTATGGGTAAGCGAGTGCAAAAACTCTGAAGATTTGACCGAGGAAGTTATAGCCTTAGTCGATTCAGTTTTACAGGGCATTGTTAAAGCAACAATAGGGGAAGCTGATGTTGAAACTGCTATAGTTGATACCGGCTGTGGATCGTCGCAAGAAATGCAAGACTGATTTGAATCTACTGAAGACTGAATGCTAAGTTTTGGGGAAACTTCACTTGTATCAGGTTTAATCATGGACATGGATGAAGAGACTTCACATGGTGCTTTGTTAGCTGCAGATGTGGGTAGAACCGATATCTCGACGGTATTAGAGGAAGTACCTGGTTCAGTTTCAATGGATGAGAGCAACCGCTGCGAAGACTCGGATTCAACTTGGTTCAGGAGGCTCTCCATGACATTGTTTTGATCATCGCCGGCGGAAACACTCATTATTCCAGTCTCACTGATCTTCAGCTGAACTTCTTTCCAGTCCGGCGGTTCGGTCAACGATGAATTTGTAGCCGTAGATGATGCGCCGACATCAACCCTATCCCCTCCGTTTGGTGCAGCAACTTTGCCTGCCTGCGGATCAGTTGATATGGATTTAAACCCCGACGCCGACAACGAAAATTCAGGCGAACCGTGCACAGAATGGGAGTTACACGATCCATTAGACGGCAAGCCTGGAGCAGCGAAATCTAACGTCAATACCGCACCTGAACTAGAAATATTAGGACCAGGATTGGAAGTCGCTACTGATGAAGCGGTACTACACGAAGAATCGTACTCAGGGGTTGAAGCAGTAGGACTGATAACTGAAGTAACTCCTGCAATGTTGAGACAATCTTCCAGAGTCATTGCACTCGAGCTAGGCGGATTTTTACTCACGGTAGAAACGGGTTCAAAAGAACCACCAGAGTCTGAGCTAACAGGCACGATGGTCAGAGGAGGGAGAGATGGATCACTAGTGACGATGTCATTACTCGCGCCCAAGCAGAACAGTCCGCCTCCAGGTTGCGCGAAGGGGACACCGAAAGGGAGAATAGTGGCTCCCTGTAGGGCAAGACAGCTAGCCACTTCTGGGTTCAGAGCAGACCCTATGTTAATCAATCCCATTGCGTCAGTTGATAGAAACGACTGATTTAAACTATTACTCAAGTCGACATTTTGTCCGCTATCAGACATTATTGTTTGCAAATTACCAGAATTGAAAAACGTTAATCCACTATTGCTGCCAAAATTCTGAGTTGACATCAGAGGCATTATTCCATAGCCTAAATTGAAAGGTGAAAATGCATTTAGGTTGAACGCTGGAGTTGATATGGAACCTGGCGTTAACGAGTTCAAGACATTGTTGGTGATACCTCCTGTACCTGTGAAAAAGATTCCTGAGGAGTCCGCAACTACACTAGGTATGTTTAACGGAGTGCCTGTTAGACAAGGCGTCAGGAGGCTAGATACATCTGGGGCTGCCGGCATAACAATGCTTTTGTTGGATGTGGTTTTAGCCTCCGATGTAATTGCCGGTAATATTGATGGCACTAAAGGCTTAGGCTGCAGAGCCACACCCTCTCGTGATGAGAGTGTAGTGGATGGCTGTGGTATTTTTTGAAATGAATACAAATGCTGCACTTGAGACAGTTGCTGGACCTGTGCAAGCTGTTGCTGGTCTTGCAAAAGCAGGAGTTGTTGATGAGAAAGAGCCGAAAACATCACCCCAGTGCCGTTAATATCAGCTAAAGAGTTGATAGAGACATCTGTAGGAGCCGTCCTTGTAGCTACACCAGTCATACTTTGGCTGTAAATACTGCCACTCGTGCCTCGTGCTATTGACGTTATTGAGGGTGAGGAAATAGAGATCTCACCACTTCTTTTCCCTTCCTTGGTTATCGTGGATGTGGTTTTATTTCGGTTCCTACTCAATGCAGTTTTGTTCGTTTTATTGGTTGGGTTAATTCTCGTTTTAGATTCATTTTTAACAGACGAGACTTTCGCTTTAGATGTAACAGGTTCAGATTTTTCATGTTTTTGCAGTTGTTGAGATTGAACAACGCGCCACTTGTGAAGAGCATCATCAGTAGAAGCAGGTTGTTGTTCCTCAGGTTTCGGTAGAATTGAAACAGCAGAAGACGGCACATGGATCTTATTTGTGCATATTTTGCTATCAGAAAAAGGCTTCTCAATGTTAGTGCTTGATGAAGTCAAATTAAGGCACTCCTTCATTTCAATATCGTTGTTTTCTTGGGGTGCCGTTGACATTTTGTGGTCACTGGCCTCTTCAGGTTCCGTTTGAATCACTGGCATCGGTTTGGGTTCAAATTGCACTGAGTTTCGCACTTCACTTACCAGAGAGGATGGGATGGAGAGCAAATCTTCTTTATTCATCACTACGGCATCACGGTGACACAAGCGTCGACTTGTGTGGTGCACTATCTTGAAAAAGATGGTGACTGGTGTGCTCTGTTGAATTAAATGAATTTCAGTCAAGAATTTCTATTAATATGAACATGATTATGAATTATTGACTATTGATTAATTCAGATAGCATGAAAATAATGCGAATAAGTGAATGCAAACTGAGGAAATGACTAGCTACGTTATGATAGTAATAACCGAGATGTAAATAGATGAATGGAGCGATGCTGCTAAGTGAATTAAAAAAAATCGGGTATGCAATATACAAAAAACTTTTTAACAACAAAAGCAAAAAAAAAGGTGCACATGAAAGCAACCAAATCCATCAAGGAACTAAACTAGATAAATGAAAATCAGTATCAATTTTATTGCGTAATGCAGGTTCTTCATTTGACATTTCTGTTAGGTTTACCTAGCAGGAAATCAAGACTCCTAAATTTAACACAGGAATATCAAGTAAGATGATACACAGAAGTAGCACAGGGTCTTACCTCGTCCCAGTCCTGCAAGTATGCCACGTCTCTGACAGTCTCTGAGTCCAGCAGCAACAGTCCAGGATACAGGCTAGCTCCTTCACTGTCTTCATCACGAGGAGAAACTTCATGAGACTCTACGACTTTTTTATTTGCCGCAGATCTTACTTCGTCCACGACGCTTGCTGCAGCTAGATTTCCGATTTTGAAATCTGAAGATGGCTGAGACCCAAAGAATTTAGATCTTACTTCGTTCACGACGCTAGCTGCAGCTGGATTTCCCATTTTGAAATCTGAGGATGGTTGAGACCCAGAGAATTTAGACCTTACTTCGTCCACGACGCTTGCTGCAGCTGGATTTCCCATTTTGAAATCTGAAGATGGCTGAGACCCAGAGAAGTTACTATTCATCAATAAACTTTTTCCATTAACATTTGGTTGATTTACTACAACCTTTGGAGCCCCCGCAGAAAAACTGGGAACACAATCGTCACTGGGAACATTAATTTTGGATTCATCAAACGAGCCAAGAAGAGATTGCTGGTTCAGCGTTGATTTTTTCTCGTCAAGAGAGGAGCGGTTTACTGAAACAGTTGCATTTGAAGTGCGAAGAATTGGTAAGGTTGATGCTGCAGTTGATGGAACAAGTGTGGGTGTAGTCGCTTTATTATGTGACTCTTTTGAAACACAGTTCATAGTTGCTTCCCCATTCACCACAGTTGCATCTGAACCTTGATAGAGCTTACAAGTGGTAGAAATGGACCACTCTGTTTTAAGTGAATCAGTTGTTGCGGTGTCTGGAGCGAGAGTTGTAGCAATGCTGGTAGAAGAGGCGGCAATATCAGAAGTTGTACGTTGTGCTAAAGTAGAAGTATTTCCAGGAGATGAAGTAGTAGTAGTAGTAGCGATTGTGCCATCAGTTGAAATATTACTGATAGAAACGGCCCCGGAAAGTGGAGTAGAAATACTATGGGACGTTACTGGAGCAGACGTCGTATTTGAAATAGAAGCAAACGTAGCAGCAGCACTGGATGTTGTTGCTGAAGTGAGTGAGCTGGTGGCACATGCAGATGTAGTAACAGTAGTGGCATTAACAGATGTGGCAGCACATGAAGTGGCAGCGCTGATGGCATTGACAAATGTGGAAGTGCTTATGGCGTCGACAGATGTGGCACGACATGAAGTGGCAACGCTGATGGCATTGACAGATGCGTGACCACATAAAGTGGCAGCGCTGGTGGCACCGACAGATGTGGCAGCACATGAAGTGGCGTTGCCAGATGTGGCAGCACACGAAGTGGCGTTGCCAGATGTGGCAGCACATGAAGTGGCACTGACAGATGTGGCAGTACACGCAGATGTGGTCATAGTAACAACAGCAGCAGCTGACACAGTTCGCTGACTGCGGCGCATCTTGACGATGTCAGGCACTAGGAAGACAAGCGTGTCCCCAGACGTGAGCGAGAACTTGGTTCGTAGCAACCTCTTGATGAGCGACATGGGCACCATGGCGGGGCACTGTAGAAACCTCCGACTCTGCTCGGTAATGTAATAGTTAAAATAATTAATAATTGTTAACACATAGACAATTGTTAACACATACGTCGTATATGTTCGTAGCAGCCTCTTGATGAGCGACATGGGCACCATGGCGGGGCACTGTAGAAACCTCCGACTCTGCTCGGTAATGTAAGTACTTAAAATAACTAACCATAGTTAACACACACGGTTAAAATAACTAACCATTGGTAACACATAGTTAATGTCATAAACCATTGTTAATACATACAGTTTAATATCACAAACTATTGTTAATACATACAGTTAATGTCACAAACCATTAATACATGCAGTTAAATATCACAAACCATTGTTAAAACATATAGTTAATGTCACTAACCATTGTCTACACATACAGTTAATGTCACTAACCATTGTTAATACCTACAGTTTAATATCACAAACTATTGTTAATACATACAGTTAAATATCACCAACCATTGTTAATACGAAAATTTAAAAATCACGAACACTTCTTAACATCAAAAATTGAAATCACAGCCAATGTATAAAAACTTTATGAATAGAATAATTATAGATAAAGCAAATAAATTATAACACAAGTAAATTATGAATTATTTATGAAATTTTGCTAACCTTTGCTCTGATAAAAATCAAGGCAATCATGCACAGGCACTGTATGAAACATCAAATATGCATTGCAATTACAATCAATACAATTTGTTTGCACGGGAATGACCAGCAAAAAGATTGCTCATATACGTTCATTTGGGTAGTAATTACCTTACTAATTGACGACAAAAACGTTAATTACCTTAGTAATTACGTCAATTAATTAATTACCTTAGTAATTGACGTCAGTTACCTTAGTACTAATTGACAAAAACTCATCGTTAGTTCAACATGGCAGATATTTAAAGCGTTATTGAAGCCGAAAACATCAACAATTAAAACTACAGGCTCAGGCCATCATTCAGCCTGCAAAAGCATGGGTTTAAAACATATGCGGGATCTAATAAATCATTAATAATGCAAACAATTCACACAAATCATTCCCGGAGGAAATTATTGACTTCTTCCTGGAACTTTGCACGTGTAACTTCGAAGCTAAATCTAAACTTGAAGCAAAATATAATGCCATCAACTTCACAGCTAAATTTAAACTTGATTTTACACGTGTAACTTCAAAGCTAAATCTAAACTTGAAGCAACATTGAATGCCATCAACTTCAAAGCTAATCTAAACTTAATTTTACACGTGTAACTTCAAAGCTAAATCTAAACTTGAAGCAACATTGAATGCTTCAACTTCAAAGCTAAATTTAAACTTGATTTTACACGTGTAACTTCACAGCTAAATCTAAACTCAATTTTATACGTGCAATATCAAAGCTAAATCTAAACTTGATTTTACACGTGTAACTTCACAGCTAAATCTAAACTTGAAGCAAAACTGAATGCCATCAACTTCAAAGTTAAATTTAAACTCAATTTTACACGTGTAACTTCACAGCAAAATCTAAACTTTAAGCAACATTAATTAAATGTCATCAACTTACCTGGTTTTTAAGCAAATGGCAGCTGACAAGCTGCACACACAGCAGGTCGCTGCTGCATATCATTTTAGACTTGGAGAATCTGAACATGGAAGAGCAAAGGTTCTCCTGTTTCTGGAGCAGGTTCTCAGGTTTCTGGAGCAGGTTCTGAGGTTTCTGGAGCAGGTTCTCAGCTTTCTGGATCAGGTTCTCAGATTTCTGGATCAGGTTCGCAGGTTTCTGGAGCAGGTTCTCAGGTTTTTTGAGCAGGTTCTCAGGCTTCTGGAGCAGGTTCTCAGGTTTCTGGAGCAGGTTCTCAGGTTTATGGAGCAGGTTCCCAGGTTTCTGGAGCAGATTCTCAGATTTGTGCAGCAGGGCCTCCGGTTTCTGGAGCAGGCCCTCAGATTTATGGAGCAGGCTCTCAGGTTTCTGAAGCAGGCCCTCAGATTTATGGAGCAGGTTCTCAGGTTTCTGGAGCAGGTTCTCAGAGCTGGCCATCAGACTAACTCGTTTGGAGTTCTGGTCTTCAAGCTTGGAGCACAGAACTCCACCACTCCCAGTTCCCGTATCAGATCTCAAAGGTTCAGAAATTTTTGGCAGAGACGGCTGGCGTCCTGCAGATAAAGACACGAGTGAAGGATCTTCAGGGATGACGCGGCAAAGCTTTTCGTCGCGGATTCTCCCTTTACTTGAACTGTAAAATTCTCGCCTTCGTCGCTGCTCCTCTGAAATACATCATTCCATAAGTTTAAATTTATAACCAGAATTAAAAATACTATATTGAATACAAAGTATGCACTTAAAGGTATATTGAAAACAAAGTATGCAAAGTGCACGAAGTAATCGGAGCAGCACTGAACAAGAAAAAAGTAGAGAATTTAACTTCCGATAGTTGGTGCTCACCTAGAAAGTTAGCAGCTTAGTTGAACATTATGTGTTCATAATATTCATAGGCGCAAAATTATCAAAACACAACAAACCCTAAGATTGTGAAAATTTTCACTGACATGGATCGACCAAAACGCACACGATGATCAATACAAATATACTGATGGTGGATCATAAGTAGCGCTGGATCACTACAAAGAAATATACTCGTGGTGGATCATAATTAACAAACTACAAAGATCTACTATAAGTATCATCAACAACCAACCAAGGATTAATTAGAGAAACTTGCTTTCACAAATCTATAAGTTTCAGGAAACGTATTTGCTTTCTTATAAACTATTTAATTCCTGAAAATAGAAATATCCTATTAACTTAGGCATAATCTTCACTCTCTCCTTTACCAAGCCTGTCTCGTGAATACCCAACTGCTGTTATTAAAAAAATAAGACAGTAAACATTATTCCTCCGAAGCCAAAATATAGCCCACAAAGGCGAGTATATGATTACATTAGAAGTATATTATGCACAGTTCTTGCCTACATCTCTGTGCAGCTCTTTTTTTCTATTACCGGTAACTTTTGCAGGTAACTATATTACTGGTAACTATTGCTGGTACTCTATTGCCGGTAAGTGGTAACTATTACCGGTAACTATTACTGGTAACTCTATTACCAATAACGACTACTGGTAACTCTATTACCGATAACGATTACTGGTAACTCTATTATCAGTAACTATTACTGGTAACTCTATTACCAATAACAACTACTGGTAACTCTATTATCAGTAACTCTATTATTGGTAACTATTACTGGTAACTCTATTACCGGTAACTCTAGTTATCAGGCATTATGATACGAAAACAACAGGACACTATACTGTCCAGACAAGATATTATAATGACCTTAACCGGATGTTACCTATACTAACCATAACATGATATTACCCTGACAGAACAAGAGACAGAACACTACCATAGGACACACTGTCCACAACAGGACATCACACCACAACAGCACATCATACCACAACAGCACATCACACCACAACAGGACATCACACCACAACAGGACATCACACNGCACATCACACTGACCACAACAGCACATCACACTGACCACAACAGGACATCACACTGACCACAACAGGACATCACACTGACCATAATATAGTTCAGGGAGGATGGCATATAGCAGAGCCTGGAGCTGAGGGTCAGGCCGGAGCTTGGAGGTGGGGACGGTGGCATGGAGCAGCACCTCGCACACGGGGCAGAACACGCTGTGCTCCAGGTAACGTACGATGCATGCGCAGCAAACTGCAACAAATTACTTCATTATTATACGAAACTAATTGCTCTATTACTGAAGCTAACCACTCTATTATAAACAGAATTAAATCTCTTCATTAAAAACTGAAAGAAATCACTTTTTTATAAACTGAGATTAATAACTTTATTATAAGCTGAAATTAATCACTCTATTATAAAATAAAGTTAATCATTCTATTATATTATAAACTTGAATAAATCAATATGTTATAACTACATATAACAGCATTGTTTCGTCTATAGGTCATTAGCATAGGTCATTCAGGATTGAATGATCAAGCCTAGCCAAACAAATCACTTTATTACAACTATAAATACATGGTTTGAACTATAAAAACTGTTACTGAGGATTCAACAACCACCCAAAAGATAAAAATATTCTACTATACACATAATACCACTCTGTCATCGAGCATAAAGTCGGAATAAATAATAATTCAGCGTCAAAGTTACAAAGTCTTAACTAATTTAACCAAATTTACCCTGCAACAAACTGATGTCAATGAACTTCCATTTTACATTCCCTAATAAACCTGACTTTATTGATAAGCCATATTTCCCCCCAAATATAAATGATGAAGGCTAGAAAAAAATTAGGTTAATTCTCCAAAATATTTCACATCACGTATTGGTAATATCACAAAATATATATGAGCATCAGATACGATTGCTACAATACAAAGAATCTAAAATAAATAATCGTTATTCGTACATTCATTAGGTAATGACTGCACAAATACAGATTTTGTACAAAGAATGTACCAAAAATATTCGTACATACAGTAGGTAATAACTGCACTAATAGAAATTTCGTACAAAGAAAGTACAAAAATACTCGTACATACTATAGGTAATACCTGCACTAATAGAAATTTTGTACAAAGAAAGTACAAAAATACATACAGTACATACAGTAGGTAATAAATGCACTAATAGAAATTTTGTACTAAGAATGTACACAATATATTTGTATACAGTAGGTAATACCCGCACTAATAGAAATTTTGTACAAAGAAAGTACAAAAATATCCGTACATACTACCGTATAGGTAATACCTACACTAATAGATTTAAAAAAAGTTCATCAATATTCTTACATACAGTAGGTAATAACAGCATCAATACACATAGTAACTCACAGCTGTGCAGACACACAACAATGGTGGTAGCATCAACGAAGTATCCGTTGCAGAGCGAGCAAATGAAGTGAGTATTGACAACGTCCATGGGTATACGAGTCCTAGGTTCACTGGTGTCAGCCGTCAGAAGTTTATCACCACCAGCATTTATCTTAGAAGAAACGCGTGTATTGCTGCTAAAACCTTCCTTGTCTAAAGAGAATTTGATGGCATCAAGAGACAAGGCTTTTGATATGTTCTCTTTCATTTTCTGCTGATCTCTGTGTCTCTTCAATGATGGTCCAAGTGGTATAGTGAGTTCAAACTTACGAGGTTCTTTCCTGGCAATCAGACTAGGCGAAGAAGATAAGGTTCCTTTGCTTTTAGTGGCCACAGGAATATCAGTTATCTGATTATCACTTATTGGTCTATGATCATATATGGCACGAGAGGGTTGAGAATCCAGGGGAATGAGATTCATAGGAAACTCAGAAGAAGCAACCAATGATCCTCTAAAAGAGTGAGGTGAGATAGGAGATTCTAGAGCTTCAATACCTTTTCTATCATCAGTTGACAGTCTGGCACACTTAGCAGCACTGGCTTGAGAATCACTAACTGGAGTTGAAGAGGCACACAAATGGGAGAAATGAGCATCTGAACTTAAAATGGTTGGAGACAACATATTGTAGTATGGCGGAGACAGAACATTCATGTACGGAGGTTGAGCAAAACCCATGGCATTAAAAGGCAAGCAAGCATTAGAAGCAGCAACAGGAGGTAAAGTCAAGTGAGGAGAGGACAAAGTTAGAGAAGCAGTCGATGCAGCACCAAGTAACTGAGGTGATGGATGTACAATAGCAATTTTAGATGCAGAGGGACTAACACTAGCTGGTGCTGGTTTCATCATGTTTTCACAGGGATCTTTGATAGGACTTGTACTGGATAACTCGATCTTCGTGGCAGTGGAGTTTCCATTGCAAAAATCATGGCCAGGGAGAGGCACTGGACTCAGCAGAGTAGAACCAAATGATGATGTATCAAAAACTGGCTGGTTTCTACATGCGATTGATGAAGATAACAAGTGATTAGAATTGCTGCTCACATCTGGAAGAGTATTTTTCACAGGAGAAGATTTTTCTGAATCCAAATTAGAAGATAAGCTTGTAACACTGCCAACACCATTATCATAACAAGGTTTCAGCAATGAAACCTTGTTAATAGACGATTGGGAAATAAAATTACTAAATAAACTTCTGGGGTATGGAGGACCGAGGTTACATAAAGCTAAAAAATCTGGTGGATTTGGAGAACTTCCAAATGCTAGGAAAGCTTCTTCAGCTGATAAGCAGTCAGGACTTGTAGATGATCTGGACATTTTTCTTTCAATTTCAGACACAAATGAAGAATCTTTGCTGCTGGTGGAGACATGAATAGAGTTCAACTTCCCCAACTTGTGTGCATCTTTACTGATGTGGTTATTGTTGATGATGTTTTCATAGACTGATGACACAGAGTTATTGGTATCACACGGTGATGGCTGTGATGGACTGCTTACAAGCGTCGTCTTGTCTAGAGGGGACGGTGAGACATTCGAGGATGCGGGAGAAATGGCAGAAGATGAAAGATTACCAACAGCTGCCACAGTTCTGGCACTAGAAACTTTAGAGGCTGCATTTGAATCGCTGATACCAGGAGTTCGTCTTTCTTTGAGTTGTTTATCATCTTGACACGCTATTGAATCCTTGGTGAAATTCTTGCTGTTAACTGATTCAATACTGCTAAGTTTTGGAGTAGTTGGAGAAGAACATACCTTTTTTCTGCTGGAGCCAATATCTGGGTTTTGTTCATCCACTCTCAGGACTTTAGGTCTTGTCCAATCATTGCCAGTGGCTGCAGTCCTTTTCTTATTCTCGCTGGTGTTCCTAAGATATCCAGGCTTATTATCTTCACTGGAGACATCTGCCGATGATGACTCAGGTTCAGCAGCAGCATTTCTTGATTTTTTGGCACCAGAGCACAAGTCAGGTAGGCTACCAAAATCATGGCGTGGCTCTATTAAGGTCCTACTTTTCAAACTCTGTTCATTCTTCTCAGAGGCCTCGCTTACAGATGACTCATCAGATATAGTTTCCTTGTTGCTTGATCCTTTTATGTTGCAATCTTTGACTGTAGGTAAACAACTTGCTGTTGGTTCAGTAAACAACTTACTGACATTTGCATTAGGTTTAATTTCTGATGAAAATTCATGCTTGACCAGTTCTTTGTTTGCATTTTCTTTGCTTAACACTGATTCAACATGAACTGAATCAGAAACATTTACTATTTCTGGACCACAAATAAGAGATGGAACTGAGCTAACACCACTCAACTTATCTAAAAGAGATTCGGATGTACTATACTTGGCTTCCAAGTTATGATCAAGGTTATCATTGACATCATTGTGTGCAGGTGACATCAGATCATCTTCGACTTTAATGGTTTGTGTCGGCCTCAAGTGTCGTTGACTTCTGCGCATGGGAGGTGTGTCTTGCTGCATGGTCTTCTGACGGCAGCGGCGGCTTGGGCGACCCATGCTTGGTGACGACTCTTCACTGCAACCTCCATCTTTTGTGCTGCTCATTACGATCCTGCAAATAAGTTAATTATATTAGCTCAACTAACAATTGTCAACACACCACATATTTTCATCAAATAGAATACATATATATGATAGATCTGGCTACATGGGATCAAATAATAAAAAATATGAGCAGAAAACTTGAATGAATGTGCATGTTTATCTACTGAAATAAATTCAACTTTTTATAATTCAAATTTTCAAATTAATCATTAAATAGAAGGAACCATGAACACAACAAAATCAAGAAATGATGAGACTTCTACAAAATAGTCATGTAAAAAAATAATGTTGATGATGGAAAATAATTAGAAGTACACTCAAGTCCCATGTTACCTTACACTAGAAGTTCATTAGCACACTCAAATGAATAAACTCAATTGTAACCAAGATATAAATAATGTAAATAAAAAAAATAATTGGCTGAAATCTTGATGATATTATCCATATTATCCATCATATTATCCAAAGTTGGTGATAATGTAGTTCAGTAAACCAGGTAAGTATTATGAGATTCACAACTTCAGATTATGAGAACTTTTTTGTCTAATAGACATAACAGGATATCATTCAATATTAGAGGCTGTGAGTATCATGTTTTATGTTGTTGTTGTAATTGCCCATCCTGGTAGTGGCGACTAGGGAGGGGGGGTGATAGGTCAGTTTTTCCGGGCACTCGGTACCACTGGTAGTTCTACGACCATCACTGGCTCGCTGACCCGCCAGAACCATTTGATTGCATTACACAACACCCTGGACAAGCCAGGTTTTATAGAATGCTGAGGTGGCGATATAAAATTGCAAGATCTTTGGCGACGCTTCTGTAACAAAATTTACGCCTTCAGAAGATCTTGCTGACACATTTAGATTGAAATTCTTGCATTTAATATATATATCAGTCTTCGGCCAACTATTTACAAAAAAGTAAGGTTTCCGGTACAATGCATGGATCAAGATACAGTGAAGCTTGTCCAGAAATCAGTTACAATGAGTTCCCACCAAAAAAATGTAAACAAGTTTACAATTGCGTAGTTGCGGTCACATTAGAGCGGTCAGACTGCATTACCACATGTTCAGTTGACACTTGCTGTACAATTGGACTGTTATTAGGGTAAATTTAGTTATTTGGGATAACATGTACATGCAACCTTGTAAATAAGTTTGTGGCTTGTAAATAGTTTTTCATTACTCAGCATAAATGGCTTTACATTAAAAACTACCTAGTGTCGACTAGCGACACATCTTGCAAATGCTTGGCAACGCTTTGGGCTTAAAAACCCATATATTGGCGTCTGGCGACGCTGCATCCATGATCCACCCTCTGCACCCTGGAAAGTGGTCTAAGTTACCTTGTCGGTCTAAGTTACCCCATTTTACGGTATCTGCTAAGTGGCATATGGTGACTTAGGGTAAACGCGGTATATTCCGACACATTAAGGACGCATCGAGAAATGAAAAACTATAAAAAAAAACGTATGCGTTACGTAAGTTCTGTTGCCTTCACATGACTCTCAAAACACTTCACTACGCGTCAGCAATGATGAAACGTCACAAAATGTTGCCATATTTATTAAAAAGCCTTTAGACAAGACCTAGTGTTTTTGCAGTATTTCGACACGCAAATGTATGACATCACCATTTCAACCATCAATGAACGCATGGAACTAAAACAAAGCTTAATTAGTTAATATAAAGGAAAAGCTGGAGAGGTGACGGAATTACCTACGATGTCGGAATATACCGCGTTTACCCTATTATATTTTATTGACATTTGACAAATTGACAGTACAGCTATGAAATTTATAAATTGCACCTCCAAAAATCTCTGCCCTAATTGTTAATCATTTGACACCACCCATTTTACAGACTACCTACAAAATTAGAAATTGTTCAATAAGAAAATAAGGGTGATAATTTGAATTGTTATTTCAATTTAATAAAAATAAAATAAGGTTTATTTGTGTTTTGAGGTTGAGTGTTGACTTGACTCATACTCTGAGACTGAGAGTAAGACTGAGACTGATAGTGAAATAGTGATATTCATAATAAATTGTAATAAACTCTAATTTGTATTCTTGTAACTTTACACCAAGTAAACAACACATCAAACATTGCTTCATCAAATTAAAATTATTATATCAAGTCTAAGTTAAGAAACCTGACAGAAAATTTCATATGAATAATTAGGAATGCAAACGTCTTTTGCCAGTTGTGGCATGTCAGCTTTTCATTGAATTCTTAGGAAATGTGAATGATGTACAAGTAATAATAACTCACTGCGACATAAATAACAAGATTCAATAAAGTGCCTCATTAAAATGTAATTAAAAAGTTATAATTTCAACCTTCAGAACTAAAAATAACCTTGAAATCGCAGCAACAAAGAGCCATCAGTTCCAATAAGCAGCGTTTAACACATAACGGTTCCGCGTACGAAGACCCACTTTCCAAGACTCGTGAAAAAACAACAATGGTCACTCAGCTGTAAAAAGTGATAGATGACATAGAACACGATTCGAACAAATCACCAACCTTATGAAAACTGTCAAAAATTATATGAAATATTCACATACTATCTGTACTTAGACACATTACAAATGAAATATAAAAATAATTCGACACGCATATGATCATCTCTTCGCCATTTTGGGTCACTAAAAGTACGGATTAAATTTGAAAGGAAAGGAATTAATAAACAAACCATGAACAATGAAAAGTCACGATACATTTTGAATGAAAAACTCACACATTAAAATTCACAACAGTCTATATGAATTTGCTTGATTAAATTTCGATTAAATGCACATTTTAACATTTTTAGCTTTTCCGGAAACTGATATAATGTTCACCTTCATTGTGTGTTTGTTGTCAAGTTTATCTTCGTTTATCAGTAATGGTTCCTGATCAGTGATATAAATTTTAATGATTTTATCAAGAATATTTGTTACAGTTATACCTCAATATTTCAATTTAAATTTATAATGTAATTACCTGGGCCCATTATTAGGTATGTAATGTTGATGGAGCAAATTTATAATAAAGTTATTTTTTAAGTTCCATATAAATAAAAAATTCCTCCTAGATTGATGTACGAGTATCCTTAATATTTTCTGTTGAACTTTTATTCAGAACCAATAATTTCAGAGTTTACACCGCGATCCTCATGACATCTTCATAGAAAATAGCTTATGAACATAATCATAACTTGCAAATGTATGTTCGCAAGTTAACCCCAAGATCATTAAGATTATTCGTGCCAGTAAATATCAATTATTAAAACATAATTTAGATGACGAGCTCCACAATAGATAACAAACTTTCTTTAGGTAGAAGTGGTTGATAATTTTCATCGTTTATTATTTATCCATAATAAAAGCTCATGATATAATAATAATATAGCTAGTATATATAATATTAGCTTTAAATAATAATAATATAATATAATAATTAAAGCTTGTTATAATGTTGTTAATTTCTTGCATCTGCCGCTAAATGATTAATGAAGACTGATAATAATGACTGAATAATAATCATTTAATCGTGATGCCACAATTGCATCACCAAATAATTAAAGTCTTCTTATTAGTATATATAAAATAATCACACTTCCTTTATCAACTTTTTTCATTTCGTGTTTCTTTGACATGAGTGCTTTTTTATAAAATAGGTAAAGCTTTTATGACTTTCAGCACAAAGTTTCCACTCAAACGATTTTGAAACAATTTTTGAAAAAAAAATTATTTTTCCATTTGAAAAAATGCTTTATTTTTTATCGCTTCACCCTACACCCTTTCACCCTTTTGATGCCTTCTCCCGATATACACCAAAATTAATCAAATTTGTTCAAAACATATTTTAATGGAATTTTTTGTCAAAATTTCACCTAAAATTAACGAAGACTTGAAATTCTTCGCCAGGGAAGTGGTTACCTTGCCAGCGATGGCATAATCACTATTTAATAATATAATAAATGATACAACTGCGCTCGAAATTTAATTACATTAGTACAAATTATATGTAAAACAAACATAATAAAAATTTTTTTAATTTAACGAAATTGTTGCCGGATATGCGAAAAACAGGGATAATGCTTTATTTATATGAATTATATTTTCATTGTCATATTTTTTGGGTAATTATAAGTGAATGCAATAAGATCAATTTTAAATTAAAACGAATAAATGAACTAATAATAATAGCTTCCTACTTAATAAATTACTTTAGATTAATTTGTAAATTAATGTTATTTTATTTCTTATTCTTCTAAATAAATAATTAATAATACTATGAATAAGTTATTAGCTGCGAGAGAAATTCCGAGGGAAAGAAAAGAAGGCAACCGCGTAACTCGAGTCGCGGGCCCTGGTGCTGACGTTACCAAACCCTGGGGTAATTACCGTGTACCGTGTACACGTGGTGCCGTGTACACGTGGTGTCGTGTACACGTGGTGTCGTGTACACGGTACACGTGGTGCCGTGTACACGGTATACGTGGTCTCGTGTACACGGTACACGTGGTGCCGTGTACACGGTATACGTGGTCTCGTGTACACGGTACACGTGGTGCCGTGTACACGGTACACGTGGTGCCGTGTACACGTGGTGTCGTGTACACGTGGTGTCGTGTACACGTGGTGCCGTGTACACGTGGTGCCGTGTACACGTGGTGCCGTGTACACGTGGTGCCGTGTACACGTGGTGCCGTGTACACGGTACACGTGGTGCCGTTTACACGGTACACGAAATGTATACGAAATTAACCGAATATTTAAAAATGTATGAAAGATTTCTTTTTCATCCTTTATTACTGTCATGAACTATTCTGGTATTGAATTGTTGATTAAAATTGAATTATGGAATGTTAATGAATTGTGTGGTGCGTGAATTGTGTGATGTATAGGCCCTGTGTGATGAGTGTGATCCTTTTTTTGGACAAATTCATCAAAATGCGAGCTCCGTTTTAATGCAAACTGACATAAATTTTTAATTATACTTACGAGACG